CTTTTTTTTTTTTTTTTTTTAATATATAGTTGGTTTTGCCAGCGGGGATCCCACATCGACCCGGAGCCAACAAATGGCCAGTGTCAATGTACTATTGTCATCGGGGGGGGTGGGGTGGAGCGGGTTTTGTATGAGGATTTTTATTCTTGTAAGCCGCCCGGAGTCACCGTGAGTGAGTTGGGTGGCCATATAAATTGTTTGAATACATAAATAAATCACCCTATAAGGGTTGGGGGGGATGTGTTCTGTTTAAAAAACCAAGATACAAAAGTGAAACATACAAACATACATGTGTGAGTGCTTTCTATTGCTATTATCTTATCCTATGCTCTATTTCTATTGCTACTATAAGTTACTATTTCTCTATACTATATTCTATTCCTATTACTTCTATACCATTCCTATTACATGTGGATGGGGGTGAACAATATACTTTTACTACTGCAGAGTGATGTTTTCCTCTTACAGACACTGCTCTCTTTAAATCCTCTGTATATTTTAATTTTTCTACTGGTGATGGGAATTGCTTTTAATTTATTTTAAGATTGTTCCCAACCAGAATCACTTGCTGAGTGATTACAATATACTTTTACTACTGCAGAGCGATGTTTTCCTCTTAGAGACACTGTTCTCTCTTTAAATCCTCTGTATATTTTAATTTTTCTACTGGTGATGGGAATTGCTTTTAATTTATTTTAAGATTGTTCCCAACCAGAATCACTTGCTGAGTGATTACAATATACTTTTACTACTGCAGAGCGATGTTTTCCTCTTAGAGACACTGTTCTCTCTTTAAATCCTCTGTATATTTTAATTTTTCTACTGGTGATGGGAATTGCTTTTAATTTATTTTAAGATTGTTCCCAACCAGAATCACTTGCTGAGTGATTACAATATACTTTTACTACTGCAGAGCGATGTTTTCCTCTTAGAGACACTGTTCTCTCTTTAAATCCTCTGTATATTTTAATTTTTCTACTGGTGATGGGAATTGCTTTTAATTTATTTTAAGATTGCTCCCAACCAGAATCACTTGCTGAGCTGGGCGGCCATACAAATGGAATGAATGAATGAATGAATGAATGAATGAATGAATGAATGAATGAATGAATGAATGAATGAATGAATGAATGAATGAATGAATGAATGAATGAATGAATGAATGAATGAATGAATGAATGAATGAATGAATGAATGAATGAATGAATGAATGAATGAATGAATGGGGGAGGGGTGTGAGGAAAGAGGAGGGGAAGGCCGGGCAGTTCTCCAGAAGCCATGAGATAGGTTAATGTGCCTTATCAGTTAACGATTATAATGTATTAAAATGTAATATGAAATGTAATGTCATAAAATGTTCTAGTTGGAAAAGCTGCTCCTTCTGATTTTTAACACTGTGTGAAGAGACAAGTTCTGCTCATTCCTCCCCCCCGACGCCCCCCAGGGCTCAGTATGGCAGCAACCGAACAGAAGCTCCCCAGGAGCAGGAGGGGTGCCGGGCGGAGCGCCATGGCCCAGACCTGGCTCCTGAGCGCCAGGGGGGAGAGGGCGCACCCAGCCTCCGCCAGCGCTGCAGGAGCCTCTCCGGGGCCCCCGGAAGCCCCGCTTTCCCGCAGGGAGGCAAGAGGAGCCTTCGGCAGGGAGCGAACAAGGAGAGCAGGTGGAGGCCGATGAGGGTGAACCACTTCCCCCATCCACATGCAAAACTGAGGGCTGGAGTCTGCCCTCTGGAGTGCAGCTATGCTGTTTGTGCTGTATTTTGGGGGATTCTTCAGCCAAGAAGTTAAACGCTGGGGCTTCATAATTGGGGTGACAATGCCTTGCGCTCCCATAGATTGTGCTGCTTCTGAGCCCCGCACCGCCTCAGCGGCAGCCCCATTGCAGCCATAGGTCTCATGGCTCCTTCTACGCTTAAGAGTTTCATCCTCTCCTGCAGTGTCCGTCAAAGGAACAGAGTGAACGTGCCCAGGTGGACTGCAGGCTTCTCTTCTCAGCCCTTCTCTTTCCTGCCTCGACTGGCTCTGATTTCTGCAGGACACTCTCATATACACAGCCTTTTGCTCTTTCAGCTTCTCCCTGTGCCTTTTTTCAGCACCTCTTCAGCTCTCCCGTTTTTCTTTTGTCCTGCTTCTTCCTTTTGTGTGCAGTACAATTCCTTCAGCGCCCATCCTCCTGATGGACTGCCACTGACTCTGGAGGCTCCATCAAAGTCCCCCTCAATGGCCACTCTTAGGCAACCACCCGTAAGCTCTCTCCCCCTCTAAGAATCATTAGTGGCATGGCTGTGAAATGTGGAAGAGCAGCAGACAGGAGACAGTGGCTTGCTGGCCCGGGGAAGGGGGGAGGATGCGCCAGTCAGAGGGCCCCAGCTGAAGAGGGGAAGAAGGGGGGGGGGATTTCTCTGGAGGGAAGCTGGTCCAGGCAGCCCCCGGGACCATTTGTTTTCCTTGACCAATCCC